ACCCATTTGTCTCTGGTAGTTACTGCCGGGTTCGAACCCTGCGAGGTGTAGGAATCGTGCATGCGCATTGCCAGTGATGAGTCTCATACCAGGACGGAACGGCCGTCCAGTGCTTCCAGGTTTCTAATGGTGGTCAACTAACAATGATTGATTGATGATTTCAAATGTGTAAAAAAAACACAAACCTCCAAAACACTGCCTGAAAATAAAACGAAGATGGGATTTCAACCCCAAACTCATTATTAGTTGAACGCTAAGCACCTATCAATCTACATGTATGTGTCAACACATACATAGTCAGGAGTAATCGAGCAATGCAATAAGGTGTTATATAATATACGCCTTGATAGCTTCAAAACTAGTTAACATCAAGTGATGTAATGAATGTGGGTTTTCATCTTAGGTTTATAGAAGCTTTGGCTATTCACAAATCCAAACCTCCATTATGTGTAAATAAAGTTTGTTGTGACCTTGAATCTGCCAAGGTAATCATCTTCTATCTAATTAACGAATTAGAGTGGTATGATAATTGCATACTCTTTCCATACTGTTAATTTTCTCTCTGTTTTATTGACACAATCATTATATATATTATGTTTATTTGAACTTTTATTTAAATGACCTCGAGTAATTTTCATATAAACTGTATCTTGCCAAGTGTATACAAAATGTGATTACTACTAGATTATTTGAAATGTATGAAACGATACATCATGTGTTTTAGAATCGACTTGATCTTCTACATTGTTCTAACAAAAGGGAACAATCGCTTTAAATTTCTGAAAGCTAAGTGTGTTTATAAATCGCTTCTTTGAGATTAATCTGGTGAAAAGGTGTATTCAAGATGTATAATTAACATCCTTAAGGTTCTCTATATACAAGCATGTCGGGTAGTAACAACACACAAATATGGCTCTTCAATTTTCCATTCAAGCAGTGGAGGATAATAAACAGGGTTGCTCAGTTTCATTTGTTGCTCTTCAACTTTACTTTCTATAAGGAGTTCTAGTAGAAATGGGTGATGGAGGTTTAAATCTGTTATTTGGGGAAAGGCTTTTCAACCTTAAACTTGAGGATGATACCGTCTTACTGTGTGATGATATTCATCAAGCCATGAAATCTACACTGATTCAAATGGAAATCAGTGTAAGTTAGTATGTCGTGTACTTTGCACCTGCGAAATGCAAAATACTGTTACAAGGCTGGTTGGTAGGAGACGATTTCTGCATTTAATCTTAGTGAAGAGCGATTAACAGCAGGTTGTATGGAGATCTGATGGTTGTGTGTTCAAAGAAATTAGGTATAGTGAAAGATCTGGGCTATCTTTGGCCCCGTCATGATATTGATCGTTTCATAGTAATATCGAGTTTACAACGCGTTGATGAAAGCAGTTTTAACCTATGCTTTAAAAACCTAGTCTCTTTTGAGTTAAGAATGTCCAACAACTCCCTCAGTTTGATTATCTTTTGTTTCTGAAGGATTGCTAACATTCAATGGTGACCCTATGTTAGTAATGCGTTGTTGGTTCGATAACATATGTTCAGGTACAGTGATGATAATCCAACTGATGTCACGATCTTGAAACATCAACTTCAAGAGCTTGGACAAGCAGTACGAATGTCATCCAAGTGAATTCCACATCCTGAATTATTTAGTAAATTATGTGACAAGACAAGCCTTCACATCGACAAAAAGTGGAAAGCAAAAACTAGGAACACGTTCCGCTGAAAATCAGAGACAAACATCAAAGGAAACAACAGTATGTGACAACAAGTGGAAAGGAGAGTGGAGGGAAGAGTTAGTTGGAGAATCCTCGTCGGCAGCCTTCGCTCCACGAAAAGCAACAGGCGTAAGTAAGTAAGCAGTCTGATATATTGTTGGAATACATCTGATCACACATAAACTTGTTGAGTACATTTGTACATACATGCAAAACAAAAGGTCGACTAGACAAACTAAAGTTAACATGAAACAGGCTTTATAAGCAAAATGTATATTTCCCAGTATTGATTGGTGTTGTCGCATTTAGCTTGAAGATTGCTTTCATGTGTCAGTTCATTTATTTGACTGTAGTGGAGAAATGGTACATGTTACGATAGCTTAATTTATAGGGTCATGATTATCCCTGCACATGTACATGTGGCTATGTACACACATATGTACCAATAAATTCAATGGATGTGACGCAACAATTCACATGCCATTTAATTTTTGATGAAGCATTGATCTTGTTTTTTGTTTTCAATATAAGCAGGTCATGTCAGTTACAACGTAAACGTTCAAGTTGCCATAACCACATTAGCACAGAGATGCAAGTGTCAGTTCGAATCCCATAGTGGTAATGAAAAAGATTAGGGTTTAAAGATATGATTCAAGAAATATAATTCAGTGAGATAAATTTAGAAAGAGAAAGATAGAAATGATGAGGAATTCAAAAGGCTAGAATTTAAGAGAACACAAAGAGTAGATGCATCTGCGTCATTGCAAACGATTTCAAGCCATGTCGTTCAAGGTCTCTCTAACCATCGGTTACGATTGTCTCTAGCGGACATCAACCACGTAGTCTACACTTAACAACATGACTCAGACCAGTTGTCGATGGCTTTATGGATTTGTGCCATTTTTTGGCCGTTCCTAACATAATAAATCTTAATAACAACTAATTTGAGCCTTTGTTTCAAATACAAGGCTAATTAACTCATCTCGGAAAAGTAGGGTCACATAAATAAGTTTTTCTGGTGCTAAGAGTGTTTCCTTAGTAGTGTTTTTTTCAACGAAAGTATGCAGACAAGAATTACTATTTTTGAAAAATCACTGTTTCAGCCTACAATTTTATTACTTCATACAACTTTGTTCATACATGACCACCAGGTGAATAGAGTTAAATTTCTTCTACACAGACTGCAGACACCTATTTCGGACCAACAACATACGATTAATAAAACTAATGAAACTTACTTCAAATATTGTGTTCAATTTGACAAATATTGAACAAAGGCTCTTGGAATATTTACTAAATTCTTTTGTATCGGTCATAATAAATTTATCTTGAATAAGAAAAACAAACACATAGAAATTAATGCGTAAGTAAGTATTTGCCAATAATAAACGGAAATTTTTTGAATGATCCTATCAGTGAAGAACAATTTAGATTTATGATAGATAAGTAATAACTTTCATTAACAATGAATGACTTTACAGTTGAAAAGTTATAGTAAATTAGTAAGAGTGCATTATCATCCAGAAGATACAAGTGTTTATTAACAGTTGTCTACGCAAAATGCATCGGATTCGTTGGCCAGACATCATCAGCAACAACGTACTGTGGGAGAAAACAAACCAGATTCCAGTGGAGGAGGAAATCAGGAAGAAGCGGTGGAAGTGGATAGGACACACATTGCGGAAAGCACCTAACTGCATCACAAGACAAGTCCTAACTTGGAACCCTCAAGGCAAAAGGAAAAGAGGAAGGTCAAGGAACACATTACGCCAATAAATGGAGACATACATGAAAGGAATGAACAAAAGTTAGACGCAACTGGAAAGGGAGGTCCAGGACAGAATAGGTTAGAGAAAGCTAGTGGATGGCCTATGTTCCATTTGGGGTAACAAGCATAAGTACGTAAGTAAGTAATTGAAAATCAAGTTAAACAATATAGAAATAACTTTAAATCAATTTAAACAATCATGATGCGGGCAAATATTTCAACGTTCTTCTTGTCTCAAATTTTAATTATTACTATAGACACTTTAGTTCAATAGTGTAGTCGAAATAATTATTATTCTGAACAACAAACAAACATCATCATCAGCATAAACTTCACAGTAGAAATCTGTATTTGTATTGTGACAATTTTACTGCACTTAGTCGTGAATAAGTCTGAACTGACTTGATCTACCGATGTTTATTAATTAATTAAGTATATTGCTGACTGTCAGGGCGAAAAAACCATGTAACTTAAAACTGAGTCTATTTAAAACCAGTGATCGAAATCAACAGTCAGTTAGTCAGTCAGTTGCAACGTAGAACTTTGTACGTAAGTACATCAGTTCATGTTGCCATACCACATCAGCACAGAGATGTGATTGTCAATTCAAATCCAATAGTAGAAGAGGTAGTAAATGTATTAGAAGTAACCGGAGAGGTTAGCATTAGAAGATATCATTCAAGAAGTATGATTCAGTGAGATAAGTTTAGAAAGCGAAAGATACAGGTGATGAGGAATTCAGAAGATTAGAATTTGAGAAAACACAGAGAATAAATGCACCGGCGCCATTGCAAACGATTTTGAGCGATGTCGTTCAAGGTCTCTAACCATTGATTATTATCATCTCGCGGACCCCAACCAGGTAGTCTACATCTATCAACATGACTCAGTCCACTAGTCAGTAACTTCATGGATTTGTGCCATGTTTTGGTTTGGCCACCACTGACTTTCTTCCAACCTATTCCTACACTACAAAACAAGGCTCGTCGAGGCAGTCGGTGGTTGGGCATACGCAACACATGTCCCAACCACCTCAACTGATGAAGTTTCATTACTTCATCTATTCATCTTCCATTCTTACCTACCACCCGATTCCTAATAACAACGTTCCTCACTCCGGTGTCCCACGATATACGAGCAATGCTTCGAAGACACCTATGATCGAAAACCAATAACCTACGAATACCTTCTACTCTCATTGGCCATGTTTCACAGCCATAAAGTAAGACGGAACGAACCACTGCGCAGTAAACTCGTCCTTTATTCAGCAAACGGATATATTGCCTACGCCATAAGTGACGCAAGTTGGCAAAAGCCAATCTAGCCTTCTGTATCCGAGCTGAGATTTCGTCAGTCACCAGGCCATCGGCACTGATGAGGCTCCCAAGATAAGTGAAGCGGTCTACACGTTCGACTACTTCACTCCCTATCACTAACTAGTTCAGGTGCCGATGAAACCCAACATCAACATCAGATACACACACACACACAGTAAAAGAGCAATTGTTGCTTCTAATTGAATAAATCTATTTCTATTTTTGTTGTTAACTTACTTGCATAATTATTCTCATTGTGTTTCATTAAATTTAATCTGTGATACATATCGTTGACATTAGCATAAGATGGAATTGAAATACACGGTGGTAGATAGATGAAATGATGAATAGGATTTTGTAATACAATACAACGATAGGATGTTAATTGATTTAATAAGTTGATAAGTAGAGCGTCCGGTTGATTACTACTACTACTACCAGTAGTAGTAGTAGTAGTAGTATTCGTAGTAGTAGATTGGATAATTCTCATCTAAATGAACGAGAAAATAAAGAAAGATTTAAAAGTGTGCTGCAAATGAAAGAAGGGAAGAACACAACAACAACAACAACAACAACGGTAATAATAATTGAGAAAGTTATTGTATATCATCGAAAATACAGGCAAAAAAAAACAATGACCAATGAAATGAATGTGTGGGGTGGATATAGGCTCACTTAGTTCTCTGTTGGCGGTTGGTAACTGATATATATTCTTAGACTTCGTATAATACTCGTCTTGATAGTCATCATTAGATAATCACGCACGCGCCTAACGGTGTATACAATTCGGAGGAGAAATACGAAGTGTTGATCAATGTTTATGATCGCTCCACATACACACACACAGATTGTAAAAACACAGGCACACGAAGCGAGAATGATATAACAGTGCAGAACGGCAAGCGAGCCGTTGATTGAGTCAGTAAGCGCGCACCAGTAAGTAGGAAAATGATTTTACGGGTATGAGGGCGGTTGTCACTTCCCGGCTGCCCACACCGTGGAAGGGTGTTTCTTGAGGAACCTGAAAAGGAAGATAGATTAGTGTCGGCCTTAGAGACCTGGGTGCGTGACCGCAGAGTCCAAGGGACAACTGCTTCAGGCTGGTCACGCGCGGCCTTTTTATGAGAAGTTTTTTGAGGATTAGCTCCGTTCTTGAAAGCCCTTAGTGGGCACCATTACCCAAGGAGACGGAAATCCGTGAGGTAGGGTGAGGTGTGACATTTTTAGGGTCGACCTTTTCTAACCCTTCCTTCCTTCGTTGTGAGAAGGCAGCATCGCTGCAGATGCTGGTTGTCCGAGGGAAACACCTTACTGCTGTCACACCCGTATGCAGTAGTCAGCAGTACGACTTCGCCCTCAGACCTTGGGTAGCTGCTTTCAGTCTCATCGTTCTCTAATCGACCTGCCTGGCATGTTAGAACCTTCAGGAACATATGTTCCAGCCAATATAGCTCGGTTGGGTCATCATGATAGGCAATCCCGACCACCACGTGTCAAGGTAGCAGCTTCGGTCGGGAGGAAAATGAATAAGTAGTTATCGAATATATCGAAGTGGCTAAAACAATAAAGAGAATAGAATAAATATACACACGTAGGTGGTAAGCTTTGCTCAATTCCTTCCTACCTGATCTCACACAAACGCGACAATACAAATGATTGTGTGTTAAGAGTAAGTTAATTAAAAAACGGCTTGTAACTACTAAATTCAATGTTTACAAGCTCAAATATGTATGTGAGTTGCTATAAGCATGAATCAGAGAGAATTCACAAACATGGACATCACTGTCTGATAATAATATCGTCGTCTTAGAATAGGGTCGGTCTATAATTATTATTATTATTATTATTATTATTATTATTATTATTAACACGAATATTTTTTTTAACTCGTTCAATGATTTTTGAACAAAGAAAAAGGTGAGTAGTTATTGTTTAAGTGTGTTAACTAAGATGAAATGCACTAGTTTCATTTATTAAGTTAATAATATTAAATTACACAAGATAAAAAGTGAATTAGATGAAATTTACAAAACTAAAAAAAAATTCAAAATGACTAAGTCATTTTGAATTTTTTTTTTCATAATTGTAATCACAATGTGATGTATGAGAGACCAGTGTTAGAAAGATGAACGCACTAGACAACAAGTTTTGCTATGTATTGTATGAGAGTAAAAAAAAGTGAGTAGTATCCGCAACTGCCACACGCATGAATTGAACACAGGACCTTCGGTGTCACGTGTGGACGCTTAAATAAATCTCAAGACTACTGAGTCGGCTTCTTGAAGCTATGATGAGAAACCGTGACCAGTGGAGTTCAATTTACTGTCGGATAGGAGACAGTTATTTGTTACAATCAGCGAATCTAAAGGTTACGCAGGGTCATGGATTGATTGAAGTTAGACATTAAGATCACTAGAGGAGTCCCATACTAAGACGATATGGTTGATTAGGGCGCTTTCAGGCTTCTAATGATGGTTAAGCCTAGCCTAGATCAGTTCCTGATTTCAAAAATACTGTAGAACTTTGTACGTAAGTACATCAATTCAGGTTGCCATACCATCACATTAGCACAGACACGCAATTGTCACTTCAAATCTCATAGTAGTAGAAGTATTAGCAGTAATTGGAGACATTAGGGTTCGAAGATATTATTCAAGCAATATAATTCAGTGATATAACTTTAGAAAATGAAAGATAGAGGTGGTGAGGAGTTGAAAAGACTAGAAATTGAGCGGAGACAAAGAGTGGATGCACTTACGCTATTGCAAATGATTTTGAGCCATGTTATTCAAGCTCTCTCACTCTTTATAACCAGGTATGTGTCCTCTTAAGTCACTATAATTTAGCCTACTTGTTTGTTCAACGAATGTTGAATTTAGAAACTGAACAATTTCAACTTATTTGTACATGGAGGAAAAAAAAGCACAATCCACAAGTGATACGATGAAGGGGAAGGGAAGCCCGGATAAAGTAGGAAGGTTGGGCGTAAAGGTTAGCTACCTCATCCCGTAGAAAACTAACTCGGTAAATGAAAAACGCTAACCAGAATAAATAATTCAAATGTTGTATAGAACAAGAAAATAAAGGGAAGAATATACATTTTAAATTCTTCAAATAGCTTAAGAGTTGACCAAAAATTTTAAATATTATTGTGAATATTATTCCTGATGAAAATCTTGTTAGTCTGTAGGTCTAATTTCAAAATATATGGTCAACTTTAAATTGACTGTGACCGATTTGGACGCGTGTGCTGTTACGGGTATGAGGGTGGATGTCTCTCCCCGGCTGACCACAAAATGGAAGGGTATTTCTTGAGAAAACTAACTAAAAAGGAAATCGGATTAGCGTTGTTCTGAGCTACCTAGGAGCGTCACCTCACAGTCCAAGGAACAACTGCATGAGTCCGGTCATGCACGGCTTTTTTTCTAGTAAGTGGACGTGTTAGCTCCTCTCTTCAAACGGCATTACCACCGGAGATGGTAAGGTGAGGTGTGCCGTTTTTATGGTCGACCTTTCCTAACCCCTTCCAGCATTGCTGCAGATACTAGTTGTCCGAGGAAAACACCTTATTAGTCAGTAGTACGACTTCACGCTCAAACTTTGAGTTGCTGCTTTCAGTCATACCGTTCTCCAATCAACCTGCCTAGCATTGTAAAACCTACAAGAACATATGTTCCAGCTAGAATAGCTCGTTTGATGGTCATCAAAAGATAGGCAAACTCGTCCACCATGTCAAGGTACTAGTAGCTACAGTCGGTATAATAAACGGTCAATTAAACCACAATAATAATTAACACATTCTTTAATGTAGAATTCTTGTGTTTACAAGCTGTTTGATTTGGTCATCATATATATATATATATATATATATATATATATATATATATATATATATATATATATATATATATATATATATATATACATTCTCTAAATCTCATCACATTGACTTGTCTAAAATACTCAGTTCAGTTTCGGTTTCATGAACTTGATGGTGAAGTTCACTTTAGACACACGAAACCTGACATACATACACACACTCACATACATATGTATATGTATATGCATACATACAAACTATCATATCATTACTTATGTGTAGTAAGTAATATTTCAGACATATGGAATGAATGAATAGTACACTCTTTAATTAATTGGTCAAACATTGTGACAAGTCCAACTTCAAAATAACATTATTGTTTTGTTTTCATTTAAAGTACACAGAAAAATGTGAAACATTCTAATTTTCATTAGAAAATCAGATCAACTATCAGAAAACGAAAAAGCAGTAATAAATGATGTGCGTGTTTTTATTTCAATGATAACCTCAACTCAGATAGAATAATAATGTGACATTGTGTAAATTATGACTTTTCAACAGATAATTAAAAAGTTTCAGTTGTGGTTGTTGCTGATTCTTTTTTTTTACTAGAAACAAATGGAATGAATGCTATTTATATATATCAGGGTTATTTGGTAGTAAAGTCAGCCAAAAACTCAATCAGTCAGTCGGTTACAACCTGCAACTTCGTACGTGCGCACATCAGTTCAAGTTGTCATACAACATTAGCACAGAGATGTGATTGTCAATGTGAATCCCGTAGTACTCCAGGCGTAGTAGAAGTATTAGTGGTAATGGAGAAGATTAGGATTGAAAGATATAGATTTGAGAAGTATAATCGAGTGAAACAGTCAGTCAGTTGGAACGTAGAATAACGTACGTATGTACATAACTTCAGGTTGCCATACCACATTAGCACAGAGACACGCAAATGTCAAATCAAATCCCATAGTGATAAAGATAGTAGAGGTATTCATGGTAATGAAGAATACGAGGGTTTAAAGATATAATCCCGACTAAAGCTGCTACCTAGACGTGGTGGTCGGGCTTGCCTATCGTCACGACCCAACCGAGCTATATTGGCTGGAACATATGTTCCTGAAGGTTCTACCATGCCAGGCAGGTCGATTGGAGAACGATGAGACTAAAAGCAGCTATTCAAGGTCTGAGGGTGAAGTCGTATTGCTGACTGCAGATAGGTGTGACAGCAGTAAGGTGTTTCCCTCGGATAACCAGCATCTGCGACGATGCTGCCTTCTCACACCGAAGGAAGGAAGGGTTAGGAAAGGTCGGCCCTAAAAATGTCACACCTCACCCTACCTCACGGATTTCCGTCTTCCGGTGGTAAGGGTGCCCACTAAGGGCTTTCAAGAGCAGAGCTAACACTCGGAAAACTTCTCACAAAAAGGCTGTGCGTGACCGGCCTGAAGCAGTTGTCCATTGGGCTCTGCGGTCACGCAACCAGGTCCCTCAGACCAACTCTAATCCACCTTCCTTTTCAGGTTCCTCAAGAAACAACCTTCCACGGTGTGGGCAGCCGCCCTCATACCGGTAACAGCAATCGAGTGAAACAAATTCGAAGAGAAGTAGAGAGATAAAAAAGGAAAAGTCATGAACAATTCAGAAGAAGAAGAAGGAGAAGACAAATA